TTTTTGGCTTCCACTCATTTCTCTGTCTTGTCACCATACATTGCTTTCTGTAAGATATAAGTGATTGGAGCCTTCACATTTAAAGTCTGTTTTTAGGCCAGGTGATCCACAATAAGGCTCCCAAGAGACCTTGGAAAGAAAGTGAGTAACTTCAGGGACTTACACTATAATATCCACAGAAGCAAAGATTTGCAGTCCCCTCCAATGATTAAATGGTTCCATTCATTCAGTCAATAAAAATTCATTAAGCACATACTATGCACCAAGCAATATTCTGGGCACTGGGCACCCTAGTGAAGGAACAAATAAATATCATTCTGATGATACTCAAATGTATATCTCCTTCTTGGGCCTCTGGCTTCAAACCTGAACTTACACATACAGATTGGGTGTCCTATTGAAACCCTGTAACTCTTCCTTCTCCATCTCAGTAAAGGGCAACACCTTTCAGTTGCTCAGGTCAAAATATGTAAAGTCATCCCTGACCCTTCCTTTCTCTTATACCCTAAATCTAACCCATCTGCAAGTCCTGCCTTCCCTATCATCAAATATATCCAGAATTTGGCTACTTCTCACCATTTCAGTCACTATTGACCCTGGTCCAAACTGCCCTCAGCTCTCACCTGAATCACTGCAGTAGCTTCATGATTGATCTCCCTGTAGTCACCCTTGACCCCTTAGAGTCTATTCTAAGTTCTAAAACTCAAGTGATCACTATAAAACATAAATCAAGTAATGACAGCCTATGCTCAAAATTCTCCAATGGCTTCCTATCTCACTAGGAATAAAAGCCAAAATCCATACAAGGCCCTACCAGCCTCTGTATTACCTAGCTCCCTGCTGATGGTCTGATCTCATCTTCTATCATGCTCCTCCTCTCTCAGTTGCTTCCACATGAGGTTCCTCACTGTTCTCAGAACATGCCAATACTTTGCTGCCGCAGAGCCTGTGCACTCACTTCCTTTGCCTGGAAGTGTCTTTCCCCCAGATATGCATTATATGAAAGGCCCATTCCCAACTCTATCCTACTTCCCCACTCCCTCTCAACCATCTTCCCATCTTCCTTTCTCTCCCTGATGATCTTTCATCACCTGACATTACATATTTACTTGTTTACTCACATATTATTTATCTCCCCCAGCTAACAAGAATGCTTCACAAGGATGGATCATGTTACTCTTTACTGCTGTATCCCTGCCTATAGCATGCCTGGCACATTGAGAACACTTAATAAATATGTGGTAAATGAATGACTATCTAAACATACATATGTCCAAAGTAGGTCAGCCATGGAAACACAGAAAAGAAAAAGAAGTGCAGGCATTGCCCGTTCAATCAGGGGCCAGAGAAAAAGGAGCCTTAGCCAAGGTGGCTTTAAATATTAAGGTCCCCATGGTAGAGAGATAGCAAAAATATCCCCAGTTCTTCCACTCCCTGTATCCATGTTCTTTGTAATGTGACCATGTAGCTCCTCTCATCAAGGAGTGGGGTCTACTCCCTACTTCTTCACTCTGGGCTGGACTTGTGACTTATGTCAGTAGACAAGCATGAAGTTATAGTGTGCCGGTTACAAGTTCAAACCTCAAGAGGCCAATTTAAGTGTCCAATCTGTCTTGGACTCCTGACCTTCCATGTGAACATGCTGGGTTCTCCTCGTGGAGGATGACAGGTCACATGGAGCAGAGTCAAATCATCCCAGCTGAGGCCACCGTAAAACAGCCAGCCCTCGGCCACACCATCAACAGACCAAAATCACATTAGCAAACCCAGGTGAGATCAACCTAGCATAACCCAGATACATGAGAAAATTAAAAAATGGTTGTTGCCTTAAGCCCCTGAGTTTTGGGGTGGTTTGCTCCATGGTCCCATTAGCAAGCTCACCCCCAGTGTGTGTGATCAGTTCTTAGAGTAGGCATCTAAGCTCTTTGCTCTCAGTGCATGTTCATCAAGGAAACCTTCTCCGTGAGGTTTAGTTCTAATCAAGGGAAGTCTGAAGGAAGAGGACGCACCAGCCATGCCTCACAATGTCTCAGCCATTGCAAATTGTAGACTGGCATGCAGGTAAGTAAGGTCACTGTCATGTGACCCGGAGACAGATCAAATTTCTGAGGCAGCAAGACTAAAAGCCAAACCTTAGATGGGGGAAATTCACAGAGGTAAATGTCATCTTCTGAGATGAATTAGGGGACGACAACCAGCCAGCCACCCTGACCATGACCCAGCTTTACCACATGCTATTTCACAGAAACTCTGACAAAGCTCTCTCAAGGATCCAGCCCTATTTCTGTCCATGAAGCACTGCAGTAGCCCCACTGCACCAAGGATGCAGGATCTATCCTGGGGGATGGAGCTCTCAAATCCCAAAATGATGCTGTTCAGAGGAGCAAAGACTCAAAGGGGCAGAGCAGTGAAATGACCTCCATATCAAGTCTGCAACACAGATGCCTCAAATAAATCCATCATATTATTTATATAAATGCATCCCATGGTACACCAAAGGTCTGTGCACTTCCAGTTGATTCCAACCCCTTTCCATAACCATAGAAACTGCTATTGTTCTCAAAGAAGAAGTAGTAACTACTCCTCTTTCTGCAGGACTACTATCTTCAGAAAAGAAAAATATCTGCAAGACTATTCAATAAACTGACCCTTTCTTTCATTATGGGGAAGGGAAACGAACAAGCCATGAAGGTTCAAAATGCCCAGAATGTTCTTCCTCAGACATCTGCCTGGCTCACTCCCTCACTCCCCCAGGGGTCTGGTCAAATGTCACTTATCAGCAAAGCCTTCCCTGACCAAGCTGAATAAAAAAAAATTACAATCCTTATCCTGCCCTCTGGCAGTACTCCCAATTCCTTTTACCTTACTTTATTTCTCTCCATTATAATGCATCATCGGCTGATACACTATCAGGTTACTCATTTATTTGTCCATTATCTTACACATACACAAAGTTAAGCTCTTTGAGGGGCTTTATTAATTCAATTCTGTGTTCCCCTCACATAGGGCCTTACCTAACACGTATTAGGTAGTCAATGGGTGATCTGCCATTTCTTAAGCATCTACTTGTGCCAAGCAATTTATATATGACAATCATCTCACAATGAACAAATATTTTTAAATAACTTCTATGTCATTGTTATAACACCTTTGTTGCTATCTCTATTTTATAGATCAGGAAACCAAAGCTTAAAGAGATGCTAAGTAACTTGTCCAAGACACTCATGTAGGTCTGTCTAATCACCAAAGCCCACACTCCTTGCAGTGGGTTAGGCTGCTTTTCAAACACCTTGATAGTTACATGACCAAATGCATGTGATACACATCTATGGCAAACATGCATGACACTGGACTTTCATCTCCCAGAAAAAAATCAGTACTAACAGCTTCAGTTTTCTGTTATTCCACCCCTTTGGAGATTAGGTCAGAGCTTTCCTTCTGAACTGTGCTGGGACAAGCAGATGACAGGTCAGGGACCCGAGGGGGAAAAAGCAGAAGTTCGTCTGCTCTGATATTTCTCAGAATTTTCCAGAATCCCTGCCTGGCATAGGATATATTCTTCCTTTGGTGTCAGCCTGTGTCTGTGCTTCCTGAGGTCTCATCACACAGTATAAACGACAGCCCTGTCATGACCTGTAAAGTCTGCCCATCCAGTGGCAGTGATATTGATGGATGGGAGGATGATGTGGGTCACTCACAGACAAGGGACCAAGGGAGGGGCCCAGCCCTTACTGAAATCCATGCCATGTCTCCTTGATGAGGGCTTCACTTTTAAAATAATCACTACCACAATTAATTCCTGCTTCCTCTCTGCTCATGCCTCTCTCTTTCCACACCTGCATTATCAAACTTGTCACACTTCCTTATTACAGGTGTTTTTCCCCCATCAGGTGTGAGCTGCTGGGAGTCTGGACGGTGTTCTTTTCACCTCTGTACCCCCAAGGATTAATTGGCTTCTGACATATACCAGGTGCCCAGTAAGTATTTGCTGACTCAGAAAAGATGCAAAATGAGCCTGTACTGTATCTGCTGCATCAGCTGGAACAAACGGGACAGACAAGTCACCTCTTCTGAAAAGGGCAGGAAGCAGAAACACAGACTAGAAGAACCACTGAACTGGAGACCATGCCCAATTCTCCCTCATGCACACACACCTCTCATCCCTCACTGGCCACTCCCTCAACCTCAAAGCCACCCACGTTTACCTCCCAACAGGCTTTTTAAAAAACAAAAACCTAGCAGGCATTCCCCAGTGCTCTTACCTCACTGCATCAGAGCCCAAGACGCAGGTAACTTACCTGCAAACAGAGCTAGTTTGCATCTGTGATTTCTGGTTAAAGGATCATGTTTCAGCAGCCCGCTGAACCCTGGACAGCAGAGATACCTAATACCCGTCTGCGGAACAAACAGCAGAGCTTCGCTCCTCCCTGGCTAAATGCATTTGCTCACCCATCCCCGCAGAACAAATCATGTTCTTTTCCTTGCGCGGAAATCCATCTACAAACAAATCCTCGGTGTCCGTAAGAAACCGCTCCCATTCCCGCGGAGGGCGCCCGCCGCATACAGGAGAAATGCACACTCACAAACCCCAACCCAGAGCCACAGGGTGTTAGAAGGTTTTTCAGATGTTCTCTCAGAACAAACCAACAGCAACCACAAATTTCATCTCATAGGAATAGAATAGAAACTAAAAGCGGTGCCTTAGGGAAACGGAGTTAAAAAAATATCAGTAGACTAAGTTGCAAAACTATATATATGGAGCTAACAGTTCAAACAGGGTTTGAAACAGCCTTTGGGGACGCCACCTTCAGAGAAGCGCGCAGTCCCGAGCGGAGGGCAAGTCCTTGCTTTTCCAAGATTCTCCCGTCTTTTATGCCATTTACTACCAACATCCAGAGGTGCCAGCCGGTATGTCTCAGCCCAGGCAGGCGAGACCGGGAGCCCCTAGTCCTCGCCCCCGCGGGTCTGCACGCACCAGCGCGAGCAGCACCATCCCCTACCTGAGTGGGAAATCCGTGGGCAAAAATCCTCGAACAGCGGCCACCAAGTGCTGGCAGAGCAGCGTGTTCCCTGGCGATCCCGGCAGAGGCAGGAGACCGCGGGTGGCACACACCTGCAACACTGCTGCTGCCCGCTGCGCTGCCCGCCCCGCCTGGTGCAGCGCGGCGCGCCCCCGCGCCCCAGCCACGCCGAGCACCGAGGGCGGGAGGCTCCTGAGGCTCCTGTTCTTCGGGATCAAATCCTAACCTGCTTTCTTCCCGGCCTGGGCATTAAAAAAATTCGCTGCAGCCGGTTCTTTGCTTCTAAATGCCCTTCTCATTCCATGTGGAGTGTTTGGGACAGCTTGGTAGGAAAGGGACCCACCAGGGTCCCCGGCTTTGGATTTGCAGACCAGTGAATGTTAAACTTCTTATCCCTCTGAGTTTCAAGAATTTCTGTACACAATTGATTATGGCTGTCACCTCGCCTGGGGTGAGGGGATTGCATTCACCAGCTCTGAACTAGGACGTGTCAGAAGGCAGAACTCACATTCCTGGGAAGGAGAATCCTCCGAGGGCCCCATACCCAAAGTATCTTCCATCACGGAAGTAATTAAATTGTTCTGTCCTTGTTACCCCATAAGGGAACTGAAAATAACCTACTTGTGGAGTAGAGGGAAGGAGAAAGATGTAGAGGGCTTAATGCATTAAGCAAAGCCCTCCACTTGTCAAACCTTCTAATCCTCTGCCCCCACCTCCTCCCAGAAAGCACCCACAAAAAGTGGACAGCAGATTCGACGGCAAGGATGCTTTTAGGAACAAGGCTCCTCCTAGGAGACAGTGAGAAGCAATGAAGTGACACTAATGCAGAGGTGAAATCAAAAAAACGTGCCTCAGGTTTTTGGCCTCCTCCGAGGTATGGAACTACATCCCTTTTCAATAGTGCTGAAATGGAACCAGGTCCTCAAGGACTCTTCCTTCTTCCCCACTCAGCACAACCCACCATTACAAGGTCTTCACTTCCACCTCCACCTTCTTTCTACTGTCATCACGCTGCTAGCCCTCTCCATCATGTCTCACCTGGATCACCTCAAGTGCTTCACCTTCTCAGCCTCTAGACTCATTTCTTAAAATGTCAATGTAATCTTGACTCTTTCCTACCTAAGACTAGGCATTTGCTTCTCAATGCTCTCAGAAAAGCCAAAAGTCTTTTAACACATCTCATTTAATCGCCAAAGAGCAGGCCCCTGCTGAACCCCACAGCCTCACCTCTCCGTCATCATCTTTTCCCCTGTACTCCAAACTTTTGATTACTTGCATATGCCTCATTCTCTCACCTTCATGCCTTTGCATATATTATTCCCAATACCTCCTAGAATGTTCTCTTCCTCCCAATCTTCTTATCCCTTCCCAATGCCTAATGGTTCTCAGTTGTGCCATCTATTTCTCCAGGAAGTCTCCCCTCATCCCCACAATAACGGAGTTCTCTCTGTTCCATGTGCCTAAAGCCACCACTATTTCCTCTACCAACACACCCAACACATGTCACTGACGTTAGTTGACTGATGTCTATCTTCCTCACTAAAATGTATGTTTCTCTCATCTGCCAAGTGTGCACAGGATACACAGCATCTAGTGTCAGCTTGATCAGTATACCTTAGTACAGTCACCATCCAGATTAATACGTAGAACAGTTCTGTCATCCGGAGGTTTCTTAATGCTCCTTCCCAGGCCATAGGCACTCACCTCCCAGATGTAACCACTACACTCACGTCTTTTAGTATTATGCTTGTTCTTGAACTATATGTAAATGGAATCATACAGTGTATTCTTTTGTGTATGGTTCCCTTTACTCAAAATAATATCTATCAGATTCATTCATACTGTTACACAAATCAGTAGTTAATTCTATTTTTATTGCTGTATAGTGCTTCATTGTCTGAATACAACACAATTTATCTTTTTCCTGGAAGTAGAGATAAATTCTTATTGCTTCCAGTTTTTAGCTGTTAGAATAAAGCCACTGTGAATATTTAATGAACATATGCATTCTTTTCTCTTCAGTGTGTAACTAGGAGTAGAATTGCTGGGTCACAGGGTAAGTGCATGTTTTGTTTTAGTAGCCACTGCCAAAATTTACAGTTCTACCTGCACTATTTGAGAATTCCAGCTGGGAAAAAAACCCTGAAAAACCAACAGGTCTTCATTGATCCACATGAAAAGTGAGGTCACAGGGCAGACCACTACTCCCAAAACTGGAGAGAGAGACAGGCAAATACAGAGAATCACCACTTAGCAGAGCAGAATCCCAAGAGTGGAAACCTCCATAGGACCAACGCCAGACGAGGAAAACCTAAACTCCAATTGACGACTCGCTGGAGGTTCAGTGTAGACAAGTCTGTGAGATAAAAATCCCAGGAGAACCCAGTTATCAGAGGACCCCCACGCTTTTAAAAGTTTTTTCTTCAGAGGCTCAGCCAAACGTTCACAGGGAAGATGACAGGAAAAATATCCTTATGCTTCCAGAAGGTGGAGAAGAAAATGTGGCCATTTTGAAATATGCCAGAGCATTCTACTCTTTCTTACAAAGCCTTCCCTCAAGATAAACTATTTTGTCAAAGCAAAATAATTTATAAGAATTTTGTCAGAGCCTAACCAACAATTGGGAAGTGGGGTTGGCAGAGGAACTCCAGCCCCTTCCAGTCATCCTGACCCACATCAGGGGGAGGGGACTGAGAGGCACTGGTGAAGTTCAAAGCCAAGGATCACAGGCTCACTAAAACATTGAGACCTAACCACAGGACAACAGAACAGGTCTCCTCCCTCCCTCCTCACCTCACCACCACATCTTTAAAAGCCTCTTTCCTGCAGTTTCTTTTACTCAGTACATCATGTCCAGCTTTCAACAACAACAAAATGAAAAGGTATAATATTATAAGGCAAAAGTACAGTTTGAAGAGACACAGCCACACTCATTTATGGCAAGGTGTGGAAATGATCACATTGTGAATTTAAAACAGCTGCGATAATATGCAACCGCCCCTAGTGGAAAAAGTAGGTAACATGCAAGAACAGATGAATAATGTAAGCAGAAATGGAAATTTTAAGAAAGAATCAAAAAGAAATACTAGAAATCAAAAACACTGTAATAGAAATGAAGAATGCCTTTGAAAGGATAATTAGTACTTAATACAATGGACATGGTAGGAGGTGGGGGGGGCAGGAAATCCCTGAGCTTGAGGATATATCAATAGAAACTTGCAAAAATTAAAAACCAAAGAGGAAAAAAGGCTGAAAGAAAAATAGAAATAGAATATCCAAGAACTATGGGACAACTACAAAAGGTATAACATGCAAGTAACGCAAATACCCAGAGGAGAAGAGAGAACAAAGAAAACACTCAAAGAAATAATGACTGAGAGTTTCCCCCAAATTAATGTCACCAAACCACAGACCCAGGAAGTTCAGAGAATAGGCGAAATGAATACAGGGAAAAATCCACACTTTGCCATGTGGACCCTGTGAAGATAAATTCATTTGAGGTGAACCCCCAAAAGGAATTTATCTGCCGAGATGGCCTCCCCATGGTCCACCCAAAGCCCAAAATGGATGAGAGTGTAGCAGCCATCTGCGGACAGGGGCTTCTTACATACTCTGTGCACCGGGAACAGTCTTTGACCGAACCGTCAGCTTACCACGCTTCCTCTGCTTGTTTGCACCACCATAATTTTCCGCTTTTCACTTAGAGGCTGAGCCATGCCCTGTCCAATCAGAACTGCTCTTTAATGACCAATCAGGGAGCATAACACTGACCAATCAGGGCAGCACAATTCGAACCAATTAGAGTGAACTTCGGTATGTGATTTGCATAAATCCGGTCTAGTCAGGCACCTGGGCGGGAATTTTTTTGACAGGACAAACGCCGCTATTTCTCACCGAAGCACGCTGTTGGTTTCTTCGACCGCCCGACATGAACACTGTCACGGGAATAAAGTTTCTCCTTTTTATTCCAGTGCCTTTTGGTCTTGTTTACAGGCCTATCGTATTCAAAACGACTGAAAAACAAAACTAAAGAAAACATCTTGAAAGGAGCCTGAGGGTGGAAAATAATACTTCAGCCTGTTCAGGCACAAAGTTTGAACGTCCATGCAACTTCTCCTCAGAAGCCAGGCAAGCAAGGAGAGAGGGAAATATTAGAAGTGTGGAGGGTGGGGGGTGGGGTGGGAAGAAAGAACGAAAAGAGCCAACCTAGTATTCCATATTCTGAGAAGTTAACCCTGCAAAAGTAAAAAAAAACATGCACTTTCTCAGACAAACAAAACCAGAAGACACGTGTTGCCAGTTGACTTGCCTTGCAAGAAATGTAAGAAGTTCTTCGGAGAGCAGGTATCGGTTTGAAACTTCGCGAGCTTCCCGGGTGAAATCTGCAGACGGCGCCGCGCACGGCGGGCAAGGGACTGAGGCAGGCTCTTCCGGGCCGGCCGGTGGCGTTTAAGAAGCAAGGGGCCTTAACCAACGACGCTCGTCTCAGGCACCACAGCAGCTCTGCACACCCGCCCGCCGGAATCGTCTAACAGTTTGTCTGGAGGCCTGAATGGGATGCAGTCACAGGCGGTCCGAGGGTCTCAACAAGCCGTTGCTCTCTCAAGGCTGCATCCTTGAACATGACTCCCGCTGTGGGAATGGCGGGCACAGCGTACAAGTCCAAGGGCAGGGGAGGAAATAAGGAGCCTGCGATTGTCCGGGTCCAGCGCCCGGGTCCGCCCGCAGCCAGAAATTCTGGCGCAGGTAAAGAAAGCAAGAGCATTAAAGGAGGAATGAATGAAGGTAAATAAAAGCTTTTTGTTTTCCTTATTTTGCATTGATCTTACTGGTAACAGCGTGTTAAAAATAATGCCAACAAGATATTTGATTGCATATGCTTATTATGATATATAATGCAGAAGTATATATTTAATACACAAGCATTAGCATATATCAGTATAGTGTACGTGTGTATGTACAAGTGAGATGAATGACAGTAATGATACAAGGTACCAGCAAGGGACAGGAGGAAGGAACTAGGAATATTTTGTTATTATAAGGTACTTGTACTACCCATGAAGCATTACGGTGTTATTTGAAAATGGACTTGGATTACCTAGATATATACTGTAAACTCTATCTAAATTACTAAAAATAGTAAATACATGTGATTGATACTCTAAGAAAGGAGAGAAAATTAAAGCATATAAAATGCTCAAAACCACAAATGCCAGAAAGAAAGAGTGAAAACCAAAAAAGGAACAAAGAACAAGGACGATGAATAGAAATTAAACATAAACGTGGTATGTGTTAGTGCAACTATATCAATAATCACTTTAAATGTCAATGGTATATAAATACAACAATGAAAAGATAGGCATTGACAGAATGTATCAAAAAACAGGTTTCAACTCTATGTTGTCCACAAGAAACCCACTTTAAATATAAAGACACAAATAGATTTAAAGGGATGAATAGACAAAGCACACAGGATTTTTAGGACAGTGAAACTATTTTGTGTGATAGGTGAGTATGGTGGATACGTGTCAATATGCATTGGTCCAAATCCATAGAATGTTCAGCATCAAGAGTAGGTAATAATGATGTGCCAATATAGGTTCATTGATTTTAAAGAATGTACCAGTCTGGTGGAGGGTATTGATCATGGGGGAGGCTATGCACATGCAGGGTTAGAGGACAGATGGGAACTTTGAAAACTTCCGAGCTCAATTTTGCTGTGAACCTAAAACTATTCTGAAAACAGTCTCTTCAAAAGAGAAAAATGTTTACTTTTAATATCTCTGCATTCTCCAACTTTATTATTATGAGTATGGTTTCCTCATAGGTAAAGAAAGATAAAATATGTTGAAATTCTACCATTCCCTTTTTTTTTTTTTTTTTTTTTTTTTACAATTGAAGAGGAGGAAAATCAAACTGACCCATTGGGCTTCTTCAAACATTAGGTTTACAAGTCTTGAGTTTTTGATGGTAGCGCTGTCCTGTTCTCTGGCCCTGGTTAAACTTGTTCTGCATTAAAAACATTGAAAAGGAGGACTGCAGCTCTCTGGTATTGGTATCCAGCTGGGTCTGTGCTCCTAGTCCTCCTACCCTACAATCCAAAAGACCATGATGAGTGTGACTTTGTGGCTCTTATGCATAATGCAAATCGTATTGATTTCAAAGGAACTGATGCTCTCTAAGTGTTCATAGCAAAGTCGATAACAAAACATTAATATTTCATGGCTTTTCTGTTCATGTGTTAGGACACTCAGACTAGACTTCCTGAGTCACAGGGAGATGTCAAAGGCTATTGGGGACCTCAGAGTCTCCTCTGAAACTGTTGAGCACAAAGTAGGATCTCATTCCACGTACACAGGCCATCAAAGATTCTGAGACATGGGTTAGATACCAAGATGTGTTTTTAGCCAGGAAGCATGTTTCCATGGCAATCATGTTCCTGTGCCTGCCTTTCTTCCTCCATCCAGTGTGTTAAGTCCATACTGTGCCGCTGTGGGCTTTGACCATCTGCAGTGCAGCTGGGGCCTCAGCTGCTTTATGAGCTGTTAATAATCCTGGAAAGTTAGGCCAAACCCAGACAATAATGTTCACAGTACTTATCTTGTGATTGTTCACCATTATTTAAGAACCTGTTTTTAATTTGGAGACATTCACAAAGATTTCACAAGGAAAGTCATTGTTAAATTATTTGTAGCAACGAAACACTAGGAATTACCTTAATATCCAACAAGAATGGGTTTTAAAAGTAAATCATGGTACTTGCACATGCTCTGAAACCATTAAAATTACTCTGGAATAAGATCACGTGATCAGATTATATTGGAATAGAAGGGTCTTCAGATAGGCCATACAATGTGATTCTGATTTTAAAAGTCTAAAACGTTGAGTGGGTGCTTCAGAGAGCTGTTTTCCCACCATTGCACCAAAGAGGCATGACTGCATCTGTCTGTATGACCTCATCACTGCCACTCCAGGTGTCCAGAGCCCAGGCTCCAGCTGGGCTCACAACTGTTATTGACCAAAGAAGCATGCCAGGCCACACAAGGTAATTCAGATGGAGACTAGCAGTGTCTTAGGGAACAGATGGACAACGCTCATGTCTTTTGATTGGTGTGCCAGAAATCCACTAGCTGATCTTCGTGGGTGTTCCTAGTGCAACGGTAGAGAGAGAACACCAAATTGGTTCCTTGGCACTGGTAATACAAATGCTTTCTCATGTGGAATACAGTGGTCAGTAGGGCCTCACGCAACTCCCTCATGGCTCTCTGTTGCCAGCAACAGATGGTGCTTGCTCAGGCAGAGGCTGGGCAGCAGCACATTGCTGGGTCCCCTCAGGGCTACATAGTCCCTTTCTAGGCAAGAGCTCTGTATCCTCCTAGTACCCTCCCCTGGGCTGGGGATTCCTCATCTCCTGGTTCCTCTTCCCTTCTGTGTACTGAACTCATTGGAACATGAACTTTCAAAATATTCACATCCCAGAGGTTGAAATGCAAGGCTCTTAATTCTGACATAGGTTGTACAACACAATGTTGAACTTTTAAGAAGTGATAGAGTGAATGGGAGATGAGGGATGACCCCACTATAGAGGACAAGGGAATACAGTGGGGGAAAGTACCTAGAATAATATCTTAAATGTGGATCCTACTACATAAATATGTGCATAGAATAATATTGGAGAGTTCTATACCCTTAACAATCATTACAATCATTATCTCCATGTAGAGGGATGGGAGATGAGTTTTAGCTTCTGCTGCTATATTTTCAAATTTTCTGCAATTAATACGTATATTAAAACAGAAATGTATTTATATATTAGCTACCAATGGCAGCCTGTGATGTGAAAAATCATACATAGTCCAAATTAAATTCCTTTGTCTGCTAAATACAGTATTCACTCCAATAAGCTCAATAAAAAAGAAATTGTTGTGTTTTGAATGCTAGACAGCCATTAAAGAGACATGTATATTCATAATAAAAAAAATAAACCCTCAACAAATCGTGTAGTTAATATGGATGCGGTTCATTCTTTGTAAATTATACCTCCATAAAGTTGATTTAAAGAATAAAAGATTTCCAAAGGCTTGAAATGAAATGACCAAAGAGAATTAACATTTTATTGGCAAATAATGATACTTATTGAAAAACAGAAAAAAATGTAATACTGCTGAACACTTATAAAAATATTTTAGTTAATACTTTAAAAATCAACATTGTACAGAAGATAAAAAGTAACATCCTCAAATAAAATATTATCCTTAAATAAATAAATACAGTAGTCAGACATGCATTGATCAATCCAAGCAGTACTTTCCCTGGTATTTTCCGTGTGAAGTACTTTTTGTGTGAAGAAACAGATATCTATTTCTTCAACTAAGCACCAGATGAGGAAGTCACCTTGCATTTAAAGCTCATGCTGCATAAAAAAATAAGCACTATAATCACATACTTACAGTTGAATTTACTCAAATTGAAGGCATTTACAATACAATCGCACTGTACTCATAAAAATAAAAAATGGCTATGTTAATTTATGCATATGCTCATTTCATTTCCCATTTAGATTTCACATAGTTGATATCATGAAGCTTATGTTCTGTTCATCTTTTTTCCCCAGGGCCTAGCTTGGAGTAGGATTAGATGGGGAAGTTTTTCTCAAATTTTTCCATGTGCAGAGAGCTTAATGCTTGTGCAGTACAAATGTGGACCACTGGGTTTAAGTAGATCAGATGTAATTAGTATTGAATATTAAAATATGTTTATTAAAAATAAAATATTGATATAATTAAGAGGAATAACATTTTATCAGAGACAAATAATTGATAGAGGAGAGAAGATAGAGAATAGAATTGGTAGGCAAAAATAAATTATAAAAGTATTTTTAAAGTAATACTAGCATTATTATATTATAAATGAATAAATATATTTTCAAACCATAAAAATAAATATTCTAGCCCTGACCAATGTGACTCAGTTGGTTGGACATCATCCCTCAAAACAAAAGGCCATCAGTTCAATTCCCGGTCAGGACACATGCCTGGGTTGCAGGTTTGGTCCCCGGTTGTGGTGCCTATGAAAGGCAACTGACCAAGGTTTCTCTCTCATATTGGTGTTTCCCTCTCTTTCTTCCTACTTTCCCCTCTCTCAAAAAATTAATTAATTAAAAATAAATAAATAAATATTTAAAAGTAACTTGAATAGAAACATTTTATTAGCTATAGAAATTATATCCTCCTGGCCTCAGCAGAAAATGGCCACACCCAAACAATTTTGTAGCTCTTTTGAAAACGCTGGAAAGATGTGACCATACTGCAAACCTTTCGGTCCGTACACTAAAAAATGGGCTTGGAGCCAATAATTGGGGAATGTTGAGAGAGAGAGAGTGAGGAAGAAAGAGAAACATCAACATGAAAGAGAAACATGGATTGGCTGCCTTCTTGTATGCCCCCCAACTAGGAATTGAACCTGTAACCTGGGTTCACAGAAAATTATGCCTCAGCATGGGTTGTACCTGGAGCCCTTGCAGATATTGATTTACATGATGAGATTTGGCACTTCTGAGCTGGTAAGATTTGGTTGAAATTCTGGTGAGTTGGTGCTGTGATGGATTAAGACATTTGGAGGAGACTTCCAGCCAAGATGGAGGAGACTTCCAGCCAAGATGGAGGTGTAGGTGGAAACACTGTGCCTCCTTGCACAGCCAAGTTTAAAGACAACAAAGTTTTAGTAAAAAAAAAAATGCAGCCAAA